CTAAAAACTATATTAAGATAAACATAAAAATCAGAAACACGTCAGTCGCTGACAGCAAACCACAAGTCTACAGTTGCTCCCAAAGTCTACTGCCTCCATTTTGGGTTGATCCGTTGTCTATTCAGGTATTCCACAGATGCAGCGTACATCAGGTTGACTGGGGATTTAATCCGCTGCTCCTGAGGCTGCTGGGAGAGATTTCCCTTTCTCTTCTTTGTTTGCACAGCTCCTGGGGTTCAGCTTTCGTTTTGGCCCCGCCTCTGCGTGTAGGTTGCCCTCAGGCGTCTGTTCCCACCCAGACAGGACGGGGTTAAAGGAGCCGCTGATTAGGGGGCTCTGACTCACTCAGGCCAGGGGCAGGGAGGGGTACGGAATGCAGCGCAAGCCTGTGGCAGCAGAGGCCAGAGTGAATTTCAACAGCCTGAGGCACACAGTGTGTTCTCCCAGAGAACTTGTCCCTGGACCATGGGACCCTGGCAGTGGCGGGCTGCACAGGCTCCCCGGAGGGGAGGTGTGGATAGTGACCTGTGCTCACACACAGGCTTCTTGGTGGCGGCAGTAGCAGCGTTAGCATTTCATGCCTGTCTCTGGGTTTTGAGCTGATGGCCGCGGCTCGCGACCGTCTCTGGAGCTCATTTAGGCAGTGCTCTGCCTTCTGTGGGCAGACAGGGAAGGAATCCCTTCTCCTCGTGCACCCTGAAACAATGGTCTCTTGCCTCTTAGGCAGTTCCAGACTTTTTCCTGGACTCCCTCCTGGCTAGCTGTGGTGCACTAGTCCCCTTCAGGCTGTGTTCACGCAGCCAACCCTAGTCCTTTCCCTGGGGTCTCATCTCCGAAGCCCGAGCCTCAGCTCCCAGCCCCCGCCCGCCCCGGTGGGTGAGCAGACAAGCCTCTCAGGCTGGTGAGTGCTGGTCAGCATGGATCCTCTGTGCTGAAATCTCTCTGCTTTGCCCTCTGCACCCCTGTTGCTGCGCTGCCCTCCGTGGCTCCGAACTTTCCCCCTGCCCACCCCCTGTCTCTGCCAGTGAAGGGGCTTCCTAGTGTGTGGAAACCTTTCCTCCTTCACAGTTCCCTCCCACTGGTGCATGTCCTGTCCCTATTCTTTTGTCTCTGTTTATTCTTTTTTCTTTTGCCCTACCCAGGTACATGGGGAGTTTCTTGCCTTTTGGGAAGTCTGAGGTCTTCTGCCAGCATTCAGTAGGTGTTCTGTAGGAGTTGTTCCACATGTAGATGTATTTCTGATATATTTGTGGGGAGGAAGGTGATCTCCACGTCTTACTCCTCCACCATCTTGAAGGTCCCTCCCTGTTGTATTTTTTAGATTAAGTGATATCATATCTGTCTTTCTGTCTTATTTCACTTAACATAATCCTCTCCAAGTCCATTCATGTTGCTGCAAACGGTAAAATTTTATTCTTTTTTTATTGCTGAATGGTATTCTAGTGTGTGTGTGTGTGTGTGTGTGTGTGTGTGTGTGTGTGTGTGTATGAGATCACATCTTTATCCATTCATCTCTTGCTGAACACTTAGGTTGCTTCCATAACTCAGCAATTATAAATAATACTGTTATGAGCATTGGGGTGCATGTATCTTTTCTAATTATTGTTTTTCAGATATATACCCAGGGGGGTTATATGGTAGTTTTATTTTTAGTTTTTTAAGAAACCTCCATACTGTTTTCTATAGTGGCTGCACCAATTTACATTCCCACCAACCGTGCACGAGGGCTCTCTTTCCTCCACATCCTCACCAACATTAGTTACTTGTTGTCTTTTTGATGATGGCCTGTCTGACAGGTGTGAGACAATATCTAATTGTGGTTTTGATTTGAATTTCCCTGATGATTAGCTATGTTGAGCATCTTTTCATGTGCCTGTTGACCATCTGCATTTCCTCTTTGGAAAAATGTCTATTCAGTTCTTCTGCCCATATTTTTATTCCAGTTGTTTGGTTTTTTTGATGTTGACTTTTATGAGCTATTTATATACGTTGGATATTAACCCCTTATCAGTCACATCATTTGCAAACAGTTTCTCCCATTCTGTGGGTTTTTTTTTTCATTTTTCTTTTAACACACATATATATGTGTGTGTGTGTATGTATGTATATATATATATAAATAACTGTCTTTGTCCTTATATGCTGATTCCATTATTTCTGTCATTTCTGGTTCTATTTCTATTAACCAATGCTTTTTCTCATGGCTATGAGTTACACATTCTTTCTTTTTCACATGCGTGATGTCTGAATGGACGTAGACATTAATGATATATTGTTGAGCTTCTGTATTATGATGTTCCAGCAGGCAGCTAATCTAGCTGTGAATCAGCAAGAATCTTCGAGGTGTGTTTCCAAGCTCTGTTAGAATCCCTCCAGCATAGCCTTTTCCTAGGACTGTAAAGTACTGTACCGCTAAGTTGTAACATTTTAAGGTCTCTACTGAATGCCTTATTAAGTAAGATCTTGCCATTATATCTGGATAGAATTTGGATGGTCCCAAGCACTGTGTGAGGTTTGGCCATTATGCAGCTCACAATTTCTTTGTAATATTTCTTTCCCGAGTAGTTTTTCTTTGCTTGGCCTTGTGAACTGTCCTCCTACACATGTGCAGCTTAGTATTCAACAAATGACCCAGAAAACCTCTGTTCAAATTTCCTGAGTTCTTCTTTTCAGGGTTTTCTTCTCTCCATGACTCTGACCCAGAAATTCTCTGCATCAGTTCTCTGGAACTCCTCCAGTCTCTGCCCCATCAGTTCAGTGAGACTGCTGGGACTTGGCTAGGCTTCACCTGTGCCACAGTCCAGAAAGGGCCTCCAGGCCCAAATTCAAGGCAATCACGGGGCTCACATAGTTCGCTTCCCTTATTTCAGGAATTGCAATTTTGTACTGCCTATTGTCTGAAATTCACTAAGTCATAAATTTTTCCAGAGTTTTAGCTGTTTACATTGGGAAGGCTACTCTGTTAACAATGAACTTTATGACTTTTTAAATACTTTTTAATAAGTTCCAAGAAATTTTATTTTTTAAAAATAATTAGACATTTTATTATGCTTTTTCCAAAAAATCATCTTAATATGCAAGTTTGAGATGCAAATCACCAATAAGAGTTGAATGCAGTTAATGCAATCAAGTCAACTTCTGAAATGTATCTCCATGAATCAGTTCCAGAAAATAGTTAATGTTAAGTTTTATATCAGAGGTCAAAATGTATACAGCAATGACCTGTATGTCCAACAATAAGACTATGTCTAAGAGACATAAAGAAAACTGGAAAGTCAAAAAATATGACTTCAATATTTATATTTATAGATTTTTTGCATAATCCATATTACATATAATATATATTACTGTTTATATCTGATGAAAAATTAAATCATTTAAGCCTGACATTTATAATAGTCAGCTAACATCTAATATTAAAATAAAGCTTGTCTTCTTTCCTTGTTTGTACATCTGCCTCTCCCATTCCACAGTACTTTTCCCTGAGTCCCTGTTCTCTTTCTGACTATGATTTCATGATTGCCATATAGTGATATTCCCCTAATTTTTATGTATGTCCCCTCCTTTCCCTCAAGTTTTAATTTCATATTTCCATCTGCCTATATTTAGATTACTTCAGTGTTTCCTCATATTCAATATATACAAACTCAATTTTTTCTGCTCACAAAGAAGCATTGCTTCCCATTTACCTAATTCTTCTTAGTGATATTTTTCCTATCTCTTAGTTTTATAATATTAATTTTTGCACTGATTCTTCTCTCTCCTTCACATTAAATCTTTTCTTGACTCCTTTGGATAACACTTCTTATATACAAGTGGTTATTTCTACTCCTGCTTGTGGAAGACTTATTACATTGAGAGTCCCGAATAAATGGCTTCCCTGCATTCACGCCCTTTGCCCTGTATTCCCTCCTATTCTGACACCATCTCTTACCACCATGTTACTGAATTTCTGAGCCTTACATGTGATAGACACCTTGGACTGACTACATCATTAGTCATTCTATCATCCTTTTAGAGTAAAGAAGCTGAAAAAGCATAAAACTACATTTTCTGTACTTCCTTGATGCTAGGGTTCTGAATATGTTGTTGACTTAGAAATAAACGCACTCACAAAAACTGAATTAGTTGAAACTGAATCACACAGTGAGACTGGACAACACAGGGCATATATCTGGCTGTTGTACCCTGTAGCAGGACTGTTTTATGGACGCTGTGTCTGTAGTAGTAGCTCCTTGAGTCAGCAGGCAGCTTCCTGGTCATGACAGCAAAGGCAGCAATTCCTTTGGAGCCTATTCCTATTCAGCTGGGTAGTTGCGGAGGTCATTCATGAAAGTATGGCCTAGTCTCTTCTTCAACTATTCCATAGCTATTCATGTATCCTTTTCTGCTTAAATTGGCTGGAGTGAATTCTGTTATCCATTGTTAAGAATGCTGATGAACAGTTTCCTTGTCTTTAAACAAGGATACTAATATCTTGAAGGGTTACTAAAAGGATTGAATGGGACAATTCGGGTAAAGCATAACACATATTGCCCGCCAAAAACTAGTTCTTGTTGTTGTGTTATTGTTACTCTTATTCTAAAGTGGCTTAACAATCAGAATGCCTGGGTCTGAATTATGGCTCTTAGCATATGTTCTTTCTGCAACCTTGGTCAAGTTGCTTGACTGCTCTAAGGCTTGACTTCTTTATCTATAAACTAGGTAAATAATATAACTACTTCATGTATTTTGGTAAAAATTAAGTGAGAATATGTAAATAAAATTTTCTTTTCTGTGTTTTGTTATTTTCCACACAAATCTGATTCCATCAAACTAATTTCCCATATTGCTTCCTATTTTTAATGCCATGACCTTACCTTGTTTCCTCAGAATTCTGAGCACACTTTTTAAAACTAACACGCAGCGCCTCAACATTATGTATTCTCTCCTTTTCAATTCAAATCCATTTTTCAAGCTGTTCCTTTTTCATGAAATCTTTTCAGGGACTTGCAACCTACCTTGATCACTTCCTTGATCTTGGAGCTCCTACAAACGGCACCATGCATTTTAACACTTCACTGGTTTTTTTCCACTAGTAAATGTGCCTTATTTCTTTCTCAAATGGATTTTTAGCTCCTTGAGATCAGTAACAACTACCTGTTAAAAATACATCTACAGAGCTCTTACAAGGGTTCACCATTTAACAGTCACTTGAAAAACTGCTGACTAGATGATTTACCATGACACTGATTGAATTCAAGTAGATTATATAATATTTTGGAATATGTTATTAAATATAGAGAACTTAGACGTAAGAACTTGGTTAAAAGCATTTAATATTATATAAATATATATATATATATTTCTCTTATTTTTTCTCTTTACCAAAACATTTCTGTCTCTGATTTCCTTTATTTGTGTTTAATTCTAACCACAGAAAGAATAATATTAAGTGAGCTGAGAAAGTGAACACATAATATGCCACTGTCAACATTAGAACATGGGAATGACTTCTGTTTCTTAGACACATTTGTCAGCAGTGACATAAGAGTTTGCACAGATAAAAGAGCATTGTTTTCAACCTTGGTTGCACACTGGAATCATCTGGAGAACTTTAACAATACCAATACCTGCGTCTTAACCCCACAGACCTCCATTTAATTGGACTGGCATATGGCTTGGCAACAGAATATTTAAAGTTAGCCACATGAGTGTCATGAGCAATTAGGAATAAGAACCACTGGTCAGAGGCTGTTCTCCATTTATCATCCTCTCCTGTTCACTTTTCTCTCACTGCTTTGCTTTAGGAACACACTGCCTTCTTGGAGAGGTTTAAGGCCATTCCTTTGCCATCACTAGTGACACCTGTGGCACATATATACCAGTAAGGATGATAAAATGGCATTATTTTGAAAACTATTTTCTGAAAATATCTTTCTGTAATTTCAGCAGGCAGCAACAGTATTCATGTACGTTAGAAATAAGGTAACGACTAAAATATCAGCCTGGCAAAAAGAGAGGGGAGGAGAAAGGGAAAGAAAAGTCTACAGCTGCATTAACTATAAATGAAAGTTACAGTGTCAAGTTATATGTACCTGATTGATGGCGCCCAGATCATCAGCGAAGCTGTTTACTTCTGACAGAAGCAGAGATATTATAGATTTTCTCAACAAGCTGCAACTTCCCAGGGTTACCAGACTCTGAGAGACATAATGCTGCACCTGAAACTAAAGATCAAAATGAGTAGATTTCTATTTTCTATCAAGTTAGCTCAAAATATATTTAATGGGCACTTTCTAAAATTTACTATTGAGCTCCATGCTGCAGGGAGTACAAAAAGTGTCAACATAATTCTGGGTCAGTCTCAAGCAAAACTGTGAAACAGACAGATTATCATAATAGAAGTAATGAAATTTTATAGCAGTTAATATTTTGAAATGTGTGACAAGGTGCTAAAATGGAAGTTTTAGCTGAAGAACCAAAAGATCATTATCATTTAGATAGAGTACATACAGAATGAATCAAGATGATAAAACAGGGCTTCCCTGGTGGCGCAGTGGTTGAGAGTCTGCCTGCCAATGCAGGGGACATGGGTTCGTGCCCCAGTCCGGGAAGATCCCACATGCCACGGAGCGGCTGTGCCCGTGAGCCATGGCCACTGAGCCTGCGCGTCCGGAGCCTGGGCTCCGCAACGGGAGAGGCCACGACAGTGAGAGGCCCGCGTACCGCAAAAAAAAACCAAGATGATAAAACAAGACTCTCAAGCCCTTACCCACTAAATATATTGGGTGGGCCAAAAAATGCCTTCGTTTTTTTAAGTAAAAATAAAAGACACAGCTTTCCTTTTCGCCAAGAACTTCATTGAACAACGTATTCACCCTTTTGCTCCACTACCTTCTGCCATTTTTCAGGCAACTTCATAATTCCATCTATCCAAAACTTTTAATTTTTTTGAGCAAAGAACTGTTCCAGGTACCTTTTACAGTCTTCCAGGGAATGGAAATTTTTTCCATTAAGAGAATTTTGTAAAGACCTAAATCAATGGAAATCTGAAGGTGCAATGTCTGGTGAATACAGTGGATGAATCAGAACTTCCCAGCCAAGCTGTAACAATTTTTGCCTGGTCATCAAAGAAACGTGTAGTCTTGCGTTATCTTGATAGAAGATTATGCGTTTTCTGTTGACTAATTCTGGACACTTTTCATTGAGTGCAGCTTTCAGTTGGTCTAACTGGGAGCAATACTTGTTGGAATTAATTAATTGTTCGGTTTTCTGGAAGAAGCTCATAATAGAGGACTCCCTTCCAATCCCACCATATACACAGCATCAGCTTCTCTGGATGAAGACCTGCCTTTGGTATAGTTGGTGGTGATTCATTTCACTTGCCCCACGATCTCTTCTGTGCCACACAGTTGTACAGTATCCACTTTTCATTGCCCGTCACAATTTGTTTTTAAAATGGAACGTTTTCATTACATTTCAGTAGAGAATCGCATGGGAAATATGGTCAAGAAGGTTTTGTTCACTTAACTTATGTGGAACCCAAACATCAAAGCGATTCACATAACCAAGCTTGTGCAAATGATTTTCACGCTTGATTTGGATAAGTCGGATTTGAGTATGTCGGCTATCTCCCGTGTGGTATAACGTCTCAATTACTGTTTCGATTTGATCGCTATCAACTTCAACTGGTCTACCCGACCGTGGAGCAGCATCCAGCAAGAAATCTCCAGCAAGAAACTTCGCAAACCACTTTAGACACGTTCAATCAGTCACAGCACCTTCTCCACACACTGCACAAATCTTTTTGTGTGTTTCTGTTGCATTTTTACCTTTCTTGAAATAATAACGCATAATATGACAAACTGTTGCTTTTTATTCTTCCATCTTCAATATTTAAATGGATACACAAAAATTCACCAATTTTGATGTCTTTTTTTTTTTTAAAGCACGCTGATATGACAGCTGTCACATACAGTCTTAACAACATTGTTTCCAATGAAGTTAAAGACAACTAAGTGCTACTAAAGCCATCTAACGGAAAAAAATCAAACGAACCTTTTGGCCCACCCAATAGATACGGAGATACAGAGGCAGAGGTGGATAAACAGGGTAAGAGGAAAAAGTTTGAAGACGTTTTTGAGGGAAGTCCCACCTCCACGTTGCAGAGGGACAGGTGTGGGTGTGGGCGTGGGTGTTTATTCTCCACTAGTCAAAAGTCTAAAGTCATGGGGCTTCCCTGGTGGTGCAGTGGTTGAGAGTCCGCCTGCCTATGCAGGGGACATGGGTTCGTGCCCCGGTCCGGGAAGATCCCACATGCCGCGGAGCGGCTGGGCCCGTGAGCCATGGCCGCTGAGCCTGCGCGTCCGGAGCCTGTGCTCCGCAACGGGAGAGGCCACAACAGTCAGAGTCCCGCGTATTGGAAAAAAAAAAAAAAAAGTCTAAAGTCACAATGTTTTAGAGTGAGGAGAAAGAAATGTGGGACTCTGAATTTTCATCTAGAGGCAGCAAAAGATTTCGTCATTAAATAAATTTCAAAGGATTGTGGGAGACAATAAACTATATCCCCTATAGTTAGTAGGAGAAAGGCCATTTGATTATAATTCACATCAAGTTGCATATAACTCATATCTGGAATTTCATTAAATCTTTCCTTTAATATATCTGGGACAAAGGAGGCTTCATGGAATATCTCAGAACACAGAAACAGCATCTGCCTTGCCATTGTTCTCTATGGGCATAAAATCAGACTGAGGAGACACTGCTTTTATATGTAAAATGTTTAAATGACAATGCTTAAATAACTAATGCCAGATGAAACTAGGAAATGCCATCTGTGTCCTTTACGATGTATACTTAATATAGATATTTCTCACACTAACATTTTAATAGTATACTTTAACTTTAAAAGTTAATCAGTGACACTAAGAAAGTGAATGGATTATAGACTTCAAAAGAAATTTCTATTATAAATCTGGACACGCATAACTAGTTGTTAATAATTTTTGAAATCAACTTATCAAATTTAAAACTAAAACCACATCAATTTATTATCATAGAAAATCATAGTTATTTATCATTGTTATTTCCTAACAATGTAATTAGCGAAGACTCCCATCTTTTGTAACTCTCCAGTATGACTTATTAGATGTCACATGTCTTACAACATTTTAATTTGTACCTGAAAAAACAGTACTTTTACCTAAGTCCTAAAAAACTTCGGTTGAGTATTTCACTGATGCTTTAATTGTTTATTTATCTTTTTTCCTCAATATTTAATCTTTAGTAGATAACTTAAAGAGAACAAAAATTTCACCATAAACTGAAAGGGACTTTACAGAATGGGGATGAAATGAAAATGTGACAGGGTAGGCTAGACTCTGGAGCCCAACACCGCCTGAGTCAAATCCCAACTCCATGCTTACTAACTTGTACTAACAACTGACTTAACCTTTTATGTCTCAGCTTACACATCTGCAAAACAGTGTCTGGGACAGCACCCACTACATAGAGTCGTGCATATTAAGTTAGACAGCAAAACTGATTAACATAGGGTCAAGCCCCTAGCAAGTGCCCAATAAGTGTTAAATGTTATAATGTAGGATAATAAGGTAAAAGCATTGAAGGTTATACGTGTAATTCATTGACCCTTAAGAAGTTAAATACTAGAAATAAAATCCATTTGTCTAGAGTTAATACGGTCCTTTTAGAGGACATTGCTGAGAAGGAAATTTCACCACAAAGAGATTTTCCACAATACAGCTATGAACTGTGACTGTCTCCCCAGTATGACTGAGGTTCAAATGAGAGCAGACTAAGTATAGAGCCATTAAGGTGATTTAAAATTCTGTGAATATTATTATAAAATGGCCTCTCTTCTTCCTTACATTTTAATTGTCACTTGCCCTTTTGTAAATGCAGTGGAACTTTGAGAGAGGCTGACATGGAGGCCTGGGCTCACATTATGCATGCGGCAACTGCAGCGGAAACCATGGAAGGACCTGCCAACACCCACGCCATCATTTTCTACTCTAGCACATCTTTCTGCATTTCAGGGACAGAGGAGCTAGAAATAAATTTCCCCAGATTCCTCTGCAGTTAGGAATTTGGATGAGGTTTGAGTTCTGCCAATCAGAGCACTCATTTGAGAACCGGATTTAGCAGTGCATTACCGAAGAAGAGAAGCGGGCTCAGGGCATGCGTTTTGCTAGCGCAGACTGTAGCAGAGGCGGCACAGTTCTGGCTTATCCTGCAGCTGGTTCAGAGACTTCCTGCGTTTCCAGGTTCTTAATCCTAGTAGAAGCAGCGGGATGCTATCTTGGTGACTCACTGGTTTAGGGAGTCATTGCTGTAAACTCAGTCTTCCCAAATGTGCTTGGATCTATATATCCACCTGGAAGGTTCACAGAGCTCCATGCTACATTTAAGTCTTGAAATATTCAGGGGTGGAAATTCCTACCACATGCCCAATAAATTTGCCTATCTGACCTGTTCAGGACATTGAAGGATCTTGGAGAATAACAGTGAATTATCACAAAATTCATCGGGTGGTGTTTGTAATTACACAGTGCTAATTCCTGTTCCAGATGTAGCTCCCTGCCTCTGATGCATATTAGACAGGTCTTGATCTGGGGGTTTGTATTCACCTAGGAGACAGCAGGGCACTTTTCCTGTCCTATTAAGGCTATGTCAACTTGCTGGCTCTGGGCCATTATTTAATAGTTCATAGGATTCTGAACATTGAAACGTTCCACAGGATATCGAGCCAGTGCACTGTACTGATGACATCTTGCTGATATGGCAGGGGTTTTGAGGGCCCCGGTAAATCACATGCATTCCAGAGAGGGAACCCCAGAATTCAGGTGCCTGATACACTTGGGCAGTTTCTGGGTCTGAGGCATGTTGGAATACACCCCTAAAGTGAAAAACATGTTGCTTTAGATGTACTTACTATCACTAATAAACAGATACAATGCTTGATGGGTCTCTGGATATTTGAGGCAACATATATTTCTTTGGTTTTCTACACAGATGCATATATTGAGCAACCACAAGGCTGTGAACTTTGAGAAGGGCCCAGAGGAGCATATTAAGATCTCTAGCTGGTCTACGTTGGGGAACAACAGGCTCTGCCACATGGACCTTATGACCAGTAAGAGCCAATATTCCTGGAGCTAATCAGTATACCTGTAGCTGACCCTAATGAGACAATCACAAGGGGGGGGGC